TGGAAGCCACACCCACTCAGCCTATTGGAACCTGGGTCCCTGGGGACAGAGGGGGTCTGGGAGAGTTGCACTCATACTGAGGTGAGTTTGAAGCCTGGTTCCGCAAGGATGAGCCTGGGCCACGGGCCTCAGGGGCAGATCAGGGACACAGCCGAGACCCACTGCCTGGCCTGAATCCCAAGATCCTGAGTCTTCAGGACCCATCGCTGACCTGGGGCTGCGGGTGCCAGCCTGGTGCTGGGACGGCTGGAGTCCCGGCCATTGGGAGCCACCTGGCACACTAGGCCTGCGGCTGAGTCAGCGGGCCGAAGCATGGTGCCCAGAAGCCCTGGCAAGCTGGCCTCGGGGCCATCGCAGAGTCTGGAGCCCTGGCAGTGCCCTGATGGAGGGTCCCTGCCTCGTCCCGTCCGCAGCTCCTCTGTGCGTGGGGTGGGGCGGGGGCTGCGGCCTCCCCAGTGTGCCTTTTCTTTTCCCCACTGTATTCAGGAGCCAGAGCCCTCAGCGGGATCCTTTCCAGCCTATGAATGTATCTCCATGCACGGGAGCTTCAGTTGATGCTCCGGAAGGAGACAAGCAGTGCAAGGCCCTCTTCTCCCGCCTCCCTGAAATGACTCTTGGTGCTGAATGTGCGGGCTCAGCCCTGAGCTAAATAATTAAAATGGAAACTGGTTTTTCAATTCTTTTTTAGTTTTTTTGAGGCTCCTACTTTCTAAAAATGTGTTTGGTCCACGACTTCTAGGTCAGAACACTGGGGGTGGACTTTCTGAATGGAAAGCTGCTTGGGCCCACTTCTTTCCTTGTTCCGTGGCCCAAAGCCAGCGTGTGCTGAGCACGCCCTCTCATCCCTTCTGCCCCTGAGCAGGAGCCCCAGCCACCACTGTCCCCACAGGCCTCCGGAGGAGCAAGTGCTGACCGCATGGGGCTCCCGGCACTCCGCTGCTGCTCGAGGACTAGGCCTGCAGGCCTCGGGAGGTAGCACAAGCTGTAACACCCTCACCGGGGGAAGAGAAGTATTAAATCTGTGGAAGCCTTGCCTGAAAGGTAAGCAATAGTCGCTTCCTCGCCGCAGGCCTGCTGCAGGGGTGGGGGTGGGGTCACGGGTGAGGTCCCCAGGTTAGAGAACGCACGCGAGTGAGCCCGGGCCCAGGGTTCACATGCCATTTGGACAGACACATTAATAATCCTGAAGAACAGGAGATGGGCTGTGGTCAGGTGGGAGGAGAGAGCCAGCGTCCACCCTCAGGGCCGGGTTTCCTGTGCCTGCCAACTCCTCCTACCTCCTGGCCCCTGGCTCAGGGCTGAGCGGCTGACCCAGGGCGGCCCAGGAAAGAGGCGCCAGCAACAGAGGAGAGGTATCCAACATTTTATCCACTGCCCAACCACTCCTGACCCCTGGGGCTGTGACCATGGAAAAGCTATCTGCAAAGGGGACAGGCAGGTTAGAATACCGAATTCAAATCCATGAGTACCTTTCAAATAGGACTGCCAGATTTCCAGGCCCCGGAAGGTGACAGTCAGTATGGAAACCAGAGTGGACCATGCCAGCCGTACTCACCAGGCTCTCAGATGACTCTGTCGCACCTGTTCACCTCCTGGGTGCGCTGCTCACGGTCACGTTTCGTAGACTGAATAGATGCGTCCTTCGCGGGTGAGGGATGAGGCTCCTGTGAGCTACACAAGCAGACCCACGTGCACACACTCAGCTCCCAGCCGCTCGCTTCTCCACTACAGGAGCCTCCATCCCGCCTCGGGACAATCTCAGACAGAGCCCAGGCAGGGGTGAGGGTGTGACAGGGGCTCAGCCCAGTCGGGGGCACCCGTCAATCACAGAGATCCACATGTGTGCAGTTCAGCTTCGAAGCCCTGCACTGGGACGATCAGAGACTGCTAGCTTCGTTCGGTTCTTGCTGCAGGACTTCGAGGAGGGTTTTGAAAGGACAGCCCAGATATGACGTCAGAATGGGACCTACAAGGTAGTGGCTAGTGGCCTCGTGGCCACTGCCTCCTTTCTTGTTCAAAGCGTATTTCTTTCCCTCACTTAGCTAGCCAGAAATCACTCTGCAGAGCACTCCCCCCCCCACCCTTTTTTATGTATTTGGTTCAGGGTCTACAGGGTCTCACTACACAGACCGGACTCATAGTGATCCTCCTGTTTTCAGCCTCCCAAGCGCTGGGATTACAGGTGTGCCCCACCACGCCAAGTCTCAATCGCTGTCTCAGCGTGCTCCGGGGGCGAGGCCAGCATGGCAGGCTGGGAATCGAACCCCAGTCCCTTAGGAAAAACTCAGACAGAACCCAGGCAGGGGTTAGAGCCTGAGCAATCTGACTGGCCCTTTTTTCTTACTCTTAATGCCTTTAATAAATGTAACCCCTGACACACCATTTCCTGTCTAATTCGTTGTTCAGAGCAACAAGCGCCTAGAAAGGTCCCCTAGAGAAAGCACAGCACCTCAGCACCCCAGCACCCCACTAACAGCACCTGTGAAGACATGTGGAGGCCTCTGAGAAATCACACCCCAACCGTCTCCATCACTTTCTGTGCGGCCTGCTCCATTGCTAGCGTCCCATGGGGGAACCTAGAAGCTCTACGGCAGCAGCTGTGTCTTGTTACTTCCAGCTGATTGGAGACCTCATTTTGGGCAACAAGAGGACATAAATGACTTCACTGTCCTTATATTTACATGCCTGAAGACCTAAACCAGCAGCAGGCTAGTTATAGGATTTGTTATAATTTGTTTAAAATTTCAGTAGGGTTGCTATTAGATTTCCCCCATACGCTCACACCTCAGTCATCGCAGCGCCTGAGTGGTCCTTCCTGAGTGCTCACTAGCGCGCCTTTGTGTTATTCGCCCCCTCCCCCATCCTGCTCATTGACTTGGCATTTCTGCGCACGGATGACCAGTCCGCAGAGGCCCATGGACCAGCCTCCCTGCTGGTGGAGACGGTTCCCACCTTCCTTGCTTCTCTGCTTGCTGATGTACGCTGTATCCTAGACTCGGCTCAGACACCACATCTCGCAGCCTTCCTCTCCTGCTACTCAGAGTGAGCACCGCCCTCCTGTGTGTGACGCTAGCACCCGTGACCCCCTCAGTCAACGCCGGTGACTCGCTGCCATTCCCTGAGTGCAGGCCTGGTGGACTGGTTGCTCTTGGAGAGGACAGCCCACTGCTGGCCATCTCCAAGATTTGCCCCAGGAGGGTTGTTTGACTGTAAGAAAGATACATATTTGATTGTAAGAAACTTCCCCTTGGATCAAACTAAAGGCAGGGTTATGGGATATGCCACACAGAGTAGGACACGAGGTGCTGCCAGGTCCCCCAGAGTGGACCAGCGCGCCCAGTGCCTGGGCAGCGGCCCTGGGTCAGAGCAGGGCCGTGGTGGGGGGGTGACCACCACAGGGTGGTCCCTGAAGACCAAGCTCCACTGGACAGCTCTGATGAGCACATGGGCAGTGCCTCTGATGTACCGTCCCGAGACACAAGGTGCCAGGGCGTTTACCCAGCAACTCCTGCATGGTGTTGGTCGTGAGCTTCCTGGGACACTGGCTCCCTCGCCCGCACTATCTGCGCCAGGCTGCGAGGCACCTGCAGCCAGAGGACCCCTGGGCAGAGAGTGCAGGGAGCACATGCTGGACGCAGTCACAGAGCACCCGTGCAGTTCGAACACCCCGCTGTAGACCAGGTTGGCCACGAGTGGCTCCCTTCTGTCCCTGAACTGAGTGTTGGGCCTTTTCCTGCCTCTCAGGGATCCATGGAAAAGAATCTCCTCTTCCTGTGCCACAGTGGCCAGCGGCACACAGCCATACCTGTCACCCTACAGACCACCTTCCTCTGCCAGAGCAGCCTGCCCCTCTTCACACACAGCAGGTCTGGGAGAGATTTTCCAGTGTTACGCCAGCCACGGTCCCAAGAGCAGCTTCCCGCATCCTTACTCTCCCCCCGGCCTCCAGCAGAAGTGGAGCAGGTGTCTTTCAGATGACATTGAGCGATAAGGTGTTGGAGCAGCTGGTTTATGGTTCATCATCCTTTAAGGCACGCTTTTGAATAATGCAGTTAATTCTGAGATGTTATTAAAACAGCCGGGCCGGGGAGATGGCTCAGTGGAATAAGTACTTCCCTGACAAGTGCAAGGGCTTGAGTTCAATCCCCAGTTCCGCAAAAAATAAATAAATAAAATAAAATAAA